TGTTCTCAACCTAAGGCTATAGTGTATTTGGTTAGAGGTGTTTCTCTGACTGGTACAACTGGGAATGTGGTATTTGTGCTATCTTGTGCTCCAGGCATGGAGGGTCACCCATAGTACTGAATTTTTGAAAACTGGGTTTAATAGAGTACAAACTGAAGTTCCCGGCAAAGAGATGCACCGTGTTAAAAATTAGACAAGACTGATGGACTGATTGTAGTGTCCTTAATATGGGTTTTCTGCTGCTTCTGTGCTTGACCTAATATCTCTGTGAGAATCACCAGCCCAAAAGCTAAGGATGTCATCATGTCATCTGAGACCTAGAACAGATTTCCCTGCTTGACTGTCACATGCCTACCTGATTGTCTCACTAATGTAAATTGTTGCTATAGTTTACTTGTTTTGTGTTTCCTTTTCTGGAGACAGGGTCTCACTGTGTGCTGTGGGCTAGATCTTGTTACGTAGACCAAACTGGGTTGGAATTAACAGAGATCCATCAGCTTCCTTCTCATGAATACTAGGATTAAATGTGTATGCCTCAATCTCCAGTAATACAAACAAACATACATACATACATAATATATATATATATATATATATATATATATATATATATATTTAGTTTTTTGAGGCAGGTTTTCTCTGTGTAGTTTGGAGCCTGTCCTAGAACTCACTCTGTAAACCAGGCTGGCCTTGAACTCACAGAGATCCAACTGCCTCTGCCTCCCAAGTGCTGTGATTAAAGGCATTTGCCACCACTGCTCGGTTTACCAATATATTTTTAAAGTGCCTTTGTTGCTGTAAATCTTCATGAAATTATTGCTATGTTGGAACATGGTATTTGGCGAACCAGAGTCCGTGTTCCTGGAATAGTCATTCATAACTGGTCCCAGAGTGAGCTATTTCTTGGTCCCTGTGAGATAAGAGCTGTGAATACATATCATAGCTTGGAAACGCTGGATAAAAGATTTATCAACTTTCCCATCATAGAACTGGAATTCAAAGTATTTTAGTGCCTTCTCTTGCACCCTCTATGATAATTTGTGACTTTTGTTTACATACTTATTTACTCTGCTACGTGCACTCACACATCAAGACCTGTGCCCTGGCTTTCTGTTGTCATGTTGTTACACAGTGTCTGAGTCCTATGGAAGTACCGTAGTCATGTGTGCCCCTTCATATGTGCAACCGTTATGTGCACAATGGATATGCTCTGGTAATTAACCACTTAAGATTTGAGATGAAGTTTCCTAGATATTAAGTCTAGTTAGAGACAGATAAAATTCAGTTCTGTAGAGATCTTTCATTTCCACGTAAAAATGTGTTGGGAGATCAAAGAATATCCTAATGATCCAGGGGAATGAAGAATATAGGTGCTATTTTTGCTTGCTTTGTTGCGTTGGATTTTAAAGACTAGTTATGTTTTATAGACAGAAATGAGAAGAGGCATAAGAATTCCATGTCCAGTGCTTTTGGTACAAATGTATGTTTGTGTATGAAATTTAGGATGAGGCTCTATATAGCTCAGTGGTAAGGGGATTTCTCTAGCTTATGAGAGGTTTTGGGTTGACTTACAAAATGCACAGCAACCAACATAAACTTACTTCTCAAATCCAATGTATAGATTGGAGCCTGGCTTTGTAAACTCTGAGCTAAGAATGGATGCTGTAGAATCCAACCAGGTAAGAATATATGACCCATGTGGCCCACAAAGCCACAGACATTGACTATTTTGTCCTTATAGAAAGAATTGGATGGTGCAGCCATGTCACTGGGTTCTCTCTTAGGACTCCCTGGTCCTTTGATCATTGTTGAGAGAATTCAGATGAAGCCCATGAAGTCCAGTAAAGAATAATTTACTACAGAAGATGAAGCATTCTCAGTGGATGGCCAGAGACTATTCTGCTAATGTGCATTTTAGGGAGTCTTCATATTATTGCCTCCTTCTTTCCCTTATGTCCTTCCTTTCTTTTAATGCAGGTTCGCATAAGCTTGCTTTGAACCAAGGATAGCACTGAATGTCTGGTTCCCAGACCTCCATTTCTTGACTGTTGGGATTATAGGCATGTATGATCCTTCTTTATTTTGGTGTATGCTAGTTCTAAAGCCCCTAAAACAAGCAGCTGTCCCTAACAGGTTTTTTTTTTCTGTCCAGGTGATTGACAGGACTATTTAGATAGATTCCCAAGGAGAGGATAGGCCAGAAGGCCCTGTGTTAGAAAGTGATATTGTAAGGTAATACTTATCAACAGAAGATATACAGTTCATAATATTATGTATGCACCCAAAGCCAGAGATATTAGTGAGACCCCATTTATTTGACTAGCAATCAGAATCCTGTTTTTGTTTGTTTGTTCTGTTTTGTGTTTTTATAAGCTGGCAGTTGGCAGAGAAAAGTCCATCTTTGGTGCTCTCTAAGCCCCTTAATATCTAACTAGCCTCTCTAAAGTGATTGACATTATTTATAAAACTAAGGTCTCTCTGTTGACTCACAATGAGCCAGTGAAGTTGAGAGGCAAAGTGTTGAGAGGAAACAGTGGTGACTTCATTCAGAAAGAAGGTTTGGAAAGGAGAAAGGGATTGTCTCAATGCCAAAGTTCATAGAGGAGAGGTAGGGTCCAGTAGCCAGAAGGATGTGTGGGACAGATTTTCTCAGTGGGCCCATGTGGCTCTTTGGAGGTGGGCAGTGTCCAGGAGCTGGAGGGATGGGAGGTCTTTCTCAGTGGGCCCTGTGTGTCTTGGGAAGTGGTGATATCCAGGAGCTAGAGGGATTGGGGGCCTTTCTAGGAGGGCTCTCTGAGTCTTTGTCAAAAGGCTACAAAGGGCCTCCACTCAACTCTCACTTTGCACTTTCTTTTCAGAAGTATTAATCTTCAAACCAGGGCTAATCAATTCTCTGGTATAGAAAGGAATGAGAAGGAATGAGTACAAGTACTGCAGATGTCACCAGGAAGTATGGGTCCTAAAGAAAGGCCATGTAACAGTTAGCATCTGTATTATTAATTTGAGACCTCTCTTTCAAATTTAGAACACCAAGCAATAGAGAGGTGGTATCTTAAAGGATTACATTAAGGCAGGTGGGCAAAAGAAAGTGTGTGTGTGTGTGCAATTCCTTTTTATATTCTGAGTAGAATATGAATAAATATGGATTTCTAGACATTCTCCAAGTATTTATCTCCTGCTTCAAGTTAGCAGGTTTTCAGGCCATGTGTTGCTCTCATGAAATGTTTGACTTCAGTAAAGGAATAGAATATTAAAAAAAAGATTTCACAGTCATTTAAGTAAACTGGTCAGTTACATGAAAAAGTTTATAGAGGGATCTATAATGGTGGTAAGGGGCTCATAGAAGGTTTTCAGGATGCTTGTTTTTGGTTTATTAAGGAAGAGAATGGGAAGACACTCAGAAGAGTGAGTGGACAAGAGAGCTAGAGATATTCTGGGTTCCAAGGCCCTGGACCATGAAAGTATCCATCCTTTATAGATGATTTACACAGAGCTCACTTGCTCTAGCATCTGGAGATGGTAGAGCTTTTCCTGTTTCTGCTGTTTGGTTACACATAGCCTGTGGTCATTGTGTTACCAGTCTTTCCGTGCTGCTTGTTCCCTCAGTTGTCAGTCTTTTAGTCATTACAATGTTTTAGTTTTCTCCGAGAATTTCATACATGCACACACACATTTTGATTACTTCATATGAGTGTGGAACATAGTTATTCTTCCAGCGTCTACATCCCTAAAGAAAACTGAGCCTAAAGAAAATTGAGACTATCCCCCTTAGGAGGCATCAATGGACAACAGCGTCTAGGAGATGGGCTGGGTCTTGCGTGCCTCTCTGCTGTCTATGCTGGAACATTGATTGGCTTGATGTTATTCAGGCAACCATAGTTGCTGAGAGTTCTTGAGTACCGCGGTCCCTTTACTGTCATGCCTAGGTGACAATGATTCACACCAGTCCTCAAGACCTCTTCTAGTCTTCCTGCTTTTCTATTTTGATGTTCCCTGAGCCTATAATATAGGCTCATAATATAGATGTCTAGTTTATTTCTGAGCAGTCCACAGGCATTTATTCTGTGTGTTTTGCCATTTACCTGTCTTGATGCCTCTAATACCTCCCCTTTTGCCGCATCTTCCCTTTTTAAGAGTACTTCTCTTCTCTGGAGAAATGACAAAAGATTCAAATTTTAGACCTTCTATCGAATTATTTTTTGTTTGAAAAATTCTTTAGACTTTAAATTTTATTATTTTATTTATGTGTATGGGTGTTTTTGCCTGCATGTATGTTTGTATGTCACATGTGTGCAGTGCCTGCAGAGGCCAGAGGAGGATTCCCTGCAACTGGAGCTGTGGATGGTTGTGAGCCACCATGTGGATTCTGGGAACAGAACCAGGGTCTTCTGTAAGCACCAAGTTCTCTCAACCGCTGAGCCGTCTTTCCAGACCTCACACATAGCTGTTTCTATGGAGCAACTGAAAACACTTCTAACTTTTTCCTCTTCAGGATGACTTTTATTTGCTGGCCAACTTGCCTTTTTTTTTAATGGACTGGCTGATACCTTTGCTTATGCCTCCCTCTCTGCTTTTCCCTAGTACTGGGTGTGAGATGTGAATGCCAGCCTCTGACATTTCTAGGCCCAAATGGTGGTAGTTTGGGTTACTCACTACTTCTTCAGAGAATCCCCTAGAGGGTAAACAAGAAGAAGGGAGAATTGCTTAATTAAACCCCAAAGGGGTGGGGGTTCCTTACAGGTGCAGAATGTATAGTCAGTAACACACACTATTGTCTTTTGAGGCCGGAGGCATTTGGGGACCTGGGAGAGTGCACCCCGTGCCCTTCCCTATGTGGTGTCTGGCCTCATCCGGCAGGCCCTGTTTCATTCATTAGAATCCTTTCTTCACACAAGTAGCCTTGGAGACTGTTGCTCACTGGTGATGTTTACCATCCTCTCTCTGGAGAGTTCCGAGTCAGGTGATCTGCCAACCCCAACTAATGACTGTTTCCTACACAGGGCGGACTCTGTTGGAGAAGCTGTTCCGCCAGCAGGAGAACGGACCTCCTGAAGAAGCAGAAAAATTTTGCTCACGGATCATTGCCATGGGCCTTCTACTTCCTTTTAGTGACTGCTTCAGGGAACCATGTAATCAGAATGCTGGGTCAAGTTCAGCTCCATTTGATGTAAGTAGGAGAATCCACTTCTGTCTGTTGGAGTAGCAGCTGTGCTGTGTGTCTGCCCCAATTTCCCTATAATTTAAAAACAACACGTGATGCAAGGCTTTCTCCCATGAGCCACTCACTACTCAAGGGCCCAGCTTGTCTATTTCTATACTCTTCTTTAGAACATGGCCGTAGATATAGTTTGCAAACCTCCTTTTAAAAAACAACAACAATAACAAAAATCCCATAGTAGTTTCCTAGCCTGCTGTAATTAGGGCTTATTTTAAGATCTCTGAGAAATTTTCTTTTTGGTAGAGATTGAACATGCAAATGTTTGTCACTGAACTGAACAGTACCTCACACATCAGTATTTCTGTGCTGGTCACAGAGCATTCCACCAGAAGTTGCACCAAAGGGTAAAATAGGAGTCCCAGTGGGTCATAGGTTTCCATGGGCACCAGAATGCTGTGTGTTTTCCCAACTCATTTGTGAACTAAACATTAACAAGAAGAAGCAGCAGTCTCTGCACTTACCCAGGCCCCCACTTAGTAGGACTTAATAGTGTGGAACATAAAAGGCATGTTCGAAATTCATCATGAATACCAGCACTACCCCGGACTAGCACCGTCAAGCCAGAGTTTTAACTTTCTCAGGTATGTGGTGCATGTGTGGCATGGTTCTGAGAAGCATGCACCTAAAACTGAGACAGGCAAGAATTCTCCTGTTTATGTCTCATGAAAAAGCTGGGGGGGGGGGGTCTTGTTGGATCTCTTGTGAAGAACCCAGGAACTGAGTGTTTGACGACATTGGATTCTGATCACATGGCTGATTACATTCCTTCCAGTATTGCCAAACATACCTCAAAAGACAGGGAATGTAAACAGAGGCTGAGGTCTAGAGCTGGTTATAGCGCCAGATAATGGTGACTCATGCCTATAATCCCATCACCTGGGAGGCTGATGCAGGAGGATCAAGAGTTTCAGGACAGCCTGAGCTGCACAGTGAGGCATTGTCCCCAGAACCAAAGAGTATGAAAAGGTGATAGTAAATAGCAGAGTTTCCATGCTTGCTGCTTTCTTCTTCCTCGTGTTTACCAATCCTAACCTGTGGTCTTTCCCCATCTCCCTTTAGTATGAACAGAAGAAATCTAATAAAATATTCAGAGATTTCAGTTGTGGTCTGAGAGAAGAAATTCTAGATGATATGTCATGACTTGTGGACCTTCTTAAAGATATATTTTTATTTTTTATTAAAGTTTTTTTTTAATGACTTGGCAGCTAATCACTGCTAGATAGATCTTTTTCTCTTATGGGAAGAGTTAGATAATTTACAAAGCTTCTTCTCTTCTTTGTGGGAATTGTGTGGTTCTGGAGAGAGAACCTGAGGGCTACAGTGTGGTGTGTTGTAGAGCTACCTTCTGATAAATAACAGAAGGGCAATTTGGAGAGATGGTAAACACAATAAAATAGAAACACTAGCTATGTCTGTATTACATACTATCATCTATTTATAACAGCCGTTGTCACCATCATCAGAGCAGTTGTGACTACTTGCACCATCAAGATCTAGTCTTTTGATGTTCCCTCCTGAGAGAAGGGGGTGGGGTGGGGACATAGTCTTACCTGAGATTTCAAGCACTCTTCTCAGTTTTATGTAACTCTGTCCAAGCTTCACATGGTCTTGTGGTCTGGAAAGGTGCTAGAATATATGGTGTATGCAAAGTTAAGTGAAGGAATGAGGAGCTGGGGACTCCATCTCTACAGTTATAGGGGAGTTGTCATCCAGGCTAGAGTGTGACCTTTTAGTGAGATAGCTGTTTGGGGAGTCATCTACTCTGTTGGATCACCCCTCTCCCTCGATCTGTAAGTACACATAATAAAGTCACTGGTTTGCCATGTTGAATGTCCATGGGATTGGTATTTTGATATGTCATGGTTGCCCTAGCAGGGATGAATAGTTTTGTGAGTGTGAATTTGTTCATATTGTCCCAGGAGAAGTTCGCATAACAATTTAGCACTTGCTTTCTTATGAAAACTATTACCAAATTAACTTTCTTTTCCTAATTAAAGCTGAACTTAAAAGTCTTTCCAATCTCAGCAAGTGTGAAATTGGAATAAGCTGAAAAGAACAGGATAACCCAATTCCTTCATTTAAAAGTTTTTATTACTTACTTATTATTGTAATACTGGGGAGAAAACTCAAGTCCCCAAGCATGCTAGCAAAGGGTTCTACCAATGAGCCACATCCTTTGCTTTCTCTTTTTAAGTTAAGCTTGTTACTTATGTGTCACCTTACTCCACCCACTCTGGTGTTGGAGGGGCTGAAAATGCTTCTTTAGCCCTGCTGTCTTGGAAGGTAGCTAAGTGTCACATGAAAGTAAAAAACAAACACAGAAAATAGGGATTTCATTCTCCGGCTAGAAGTGATCATTTTCCTCTTGGCAATATTCTTTGGCTGTGTACTACCTCTCTATTCCTGGCACCAAATGAACACAAAACAAAGAAGAAATTAAAGGTACTCTCTTGGGAAATGTTGTTCCATATTCTAAAATAGCAGATCAGAAACAGCCCCACAGCTTAATGAATACTGAGTCAAGGATTTTTTTTTCTTCTCAAACTACAAAGGAAACAAACATACTCAATATTACAAAGACTAAGGTGTCAGTGGGGGATGGGAAGGAATGTGTTCATCTCTGGGGAGAGACATTTCTGATAATTAGTCTTTCTGCCGATTTCCAGAAGAGAGTTATTGAGAGCATCTCCATTGAACAATTCTCCCAGGGACAGTTCTTACAAGATGGAACCCAGTAGCACTGGGCTTGTACCTGCAACTCTTCCTGTCTACTGATCTTATAATAGCATCCTACCTGTCTCTGTTTAGATATGTCATTTTTAAAAACATCTATATTTTTTGATATGGGGAATCTTACTGATGCAGTTTAGGAACTGACCTACTTCAGTTAAAGATTTGGCATGTTAGTATTTTGTTATCCTGTGGTGATACTTTGTTTATGATCTAACAAATAAAGCTTACCTGAAGATCAGAGTGTAAAGCTAGCCACACTAGTCAGCCTTAGAGACCAGGCAGTGGTGACACACACCCTTAATCCCAGCACTTGGAAGACAGAAGCAGACAGATCTCTGTTAATTCAAGGCTATACTGAGCTATACAAAATTGATCCAGTCTAAAAGAGAAACAGAGCTCATAGGAAGGTGAACTTGGCACTTGGGATCCTACACCTTTAATCCCAGCAGCAGAGAGGAATATAAGGTGGGAGGAGACAGGAGCTATTGATCCAAGAAATCCTCAAACTGGACTTAGGCTTCTAAGAATTCTGGTCTTATCCTTTGCATAGGACTGCCAGCCCTTTCAATGGGCTACCTGGACTTTCTTTGGCTTGAGGCTTCTGTCTCTTCTGCCTGGCCGGGAGCCATGGCTGGGACTACTTGCAGAAGTAGCTGGAGATATGTGCTGTCCATTCCCTCTTGCTCCATCATCTTCTGTTTCTCTGTGTGTTTGAGTTATCCAATCAGCCCCTGTGTGATGACACCTTCTTATCTTTTTATCTTTGGATTGGAGTCTAACCTTTGTTATTACTGCTCACTCACTGTAACATTTAGTGGCTGTTTCTTATCACCAATCTGCCCACACAAGTGTTATTCCTTTGAAAAGATTTTAAGTTATTTTTAATTATGTGTGTATATGCATTTTTGTGTGGGTATATGCACTTGAGTGCAGTTGCTGGTGACTCTGAGAAGAGCAGTCAGATCTTCCAGAGCTGAAGGTCTCTTGGTTGTGGGCTGCCCAGTGTGGGTTCTGGGAACTGAACTTTGGTTCACTGCAAAAGCAGTGTCCTTCTTAACTACAGAGCTGTCTCTCCAGCTTCAGTTCTACTCTTTGTCTCAGGACACCATTCAGAATTACATGCTACCTCTGTAGTCACTATGTTTGTCCACTCCTGCTTGCTATTGTCCTATAATATTATATTACACATATTACAATTAATTTTTCATCCAGTAGTCTAAATGTAAATTAATATTTGTGTGGAGGCATTCCCCAGAGTTTTTGGCTTTGTTTACTTTACAGGCCTCTCCAGAGTAGCTAAGAGCAGACTCTAGACTTAGATTTTGATCCCATTTTTTCCACTTAGGAAGAGATTATGTTTATTCAGGATCACATTAAAATTTTCCTGTGATAATATTACCTTGGCTTAGAATTGTCTTTAACACTAAATGAGCTTAAGTTATAAAGCATTTAACACAGTAATTGGCCAATGCTAGTTTACATTATTGTCTTGTAGAGACTTGCTAAGCCATTCCACAAGTATGTCTTGTTTTGTGCAGAACAGGAAGGTTACTGAGGACATGAAGAACTAGAATATCCATTCAGTGAATTGTCTTGAGTGATCAAACATTACTTATGTCCAGTAATCATGAAAACACTTGGAGAAATATAATGCACAATGGAATGTAGACTTGAGCCTTATATGATGTGAGAATCAGCTTTATGTTGGGTCTCTGTTTTCATTGCTACCACTTCTTACAGAAGTGGAAAAACTAGGAAAAGCCACAGCCAAAGTTGTGAAGAAGAACACATCATGCTCACCTGGGATTGTGTTCATGACCATTCCATAGTCACTCCATTTCCTTGTCCTTTGCTCCAGAAGTATTACACTCAAATATGACTGTGGTATGGTATTTAGTATTCTCTCTCTCTCTCTCAAATACGACTGTGGTATTTAGTACTCTCTCTCTTCGTGTGTGTGTGTGTGTGTGTGTGTGTGTGTGTGTGTGTGAATGTTGGGGATACTCTATAGAAGACATAGCATGGAAGAACAAAGATTACTTTTTAAAATAGTGCTTCACCAAAGAATAAAAATGGTTATTTTATCTGGTACTGCTAATGCCAGGAAAGGAACTCCAAATTGCTGAAGATCAATTTGCTACATAACTTCATTCATTTCATTCACAGATAACTTCTTTGTGGGTAGTTAGATGTTCTTAGGTATGTAACTTTAATAT